TATATATATGAGTCTTTTTTATGTCGCATTTTTTAAATTTGTGATTCCAGACCTAATTCCTTGGACACCAATAAAAGATATTGCTTAAAATTGCCGTTGACTATGTTCATGAACAAGGTAAAACGTTCCTTGACCTTAAAATCAGGTTTTCAAAACTGCCCAAGTCATAGAAATTTTAGAGCTCTTTTGTAAATCTTGCTCAGTGGGCAGAATGGCAAGTTTCGCAACACGTATATGTTTTTTAAAACATGCTTAGGGATAAAAGTCATGGCTCTAGGGATTAAATATTTCACAGTTATTCAGAGTATTGAACAGCATTACCGAAGCAAAAAAAATCTTGGTGCCCGTCTTTGTCTTATTTTTGTTAATTAGCTCTCCTATCTCCAAATTTTGCTTGACCCATTTCAAAGTTCTCTCCTGTTACCCAGCATTTCACACAGAAAAATGGTCCCTAGATATAAATGTATTTCTTTGAGATTTTGCGAGTGAAGACTACCTTCATATTCCTGTATATAACATGAGACAGCGGAGTTTATGCAACGCACGATTGAATGATACAGAGCCAAGTTCAACCCAACATGGTGAGTATTTGAGCATAAATGTCCCTCCTGTTACCAGGGTCTATAACGACTTATTATACAGAAATCCGATACACTCAATGATAAGACAATCTATAACATGAGCTCTACCCAGTGAGTGGTTGCCAGGTACTGATGTACAGAATTCCATCCTGTTACTTTCCCTCCTGTTACCCGTGTTTTGGTAACAGGATAGAACAAAAAGTAAAGGAGAGAAAGGAGTGTGCTCAATATCTTAACCGACCACAGTTTGGGTTAGAATGTGAGGTAGTCCACGTTTAATAGAGTAAATGAAAGAGGTTAAAACTAAAGGCATGTTTGTGTTTTTTCAACAGAACACCTGAATAATAATTTTTATCTTTGAGTAACAGGACAGAATTGAGAGTAACAGGAGAAAATACAAGATAGCAGGACGGAGTGGTACGTGTCAAATAGCTAAACCGACCAAAATTCGGGTTGGAAATGGGTCATTCATTCAAAAAACAAAGCTGAATAGTTACTATATGAAAGATGTGTCTGTACTGTTTTAACAAACTCCTGTATTGTGATTCTGTAATTTAGGTAACAGAGTGGAATTGAGAGCAATAGTGAGGGAACAACAGAGTTAAATGAAAGACAAAAACCTTCCATTTTTCCTACATCGATGATAATAATAATGCAACCTACTTTTGTTCCACCAAATTCTAGAACTTTCTATTTTGATAAATGGTATCGAAGAGTTCTAAGTAATCGTGATATTGCAGGTTTAAGGGTTCGAGGCTCCGCTCGGTCCAAAGTTGTGTCCTTGAGAAAGATACTTAACCCACGAATTTCCCATTTGGCTCAGTCCTTTCGGAGAGGACGTTTACCGTTAAACTCAGAGGTCCCACCTCTGAAATAATCTTATAAGTGCGTTAAACCTGTAGCATTTAACTATTTTAACCAAAGAGTTCTTAAAATGTAGGTCTAGATCTAGATCTTTTATTTACGAGGTCTGTCTCAGAATAAAGTTTCCCTCCTCCATAAAAATCAAGAGTACGCAACCAACAGCCAGTAAATTTTGTGACGTCATGACTTCATGTCCAAGAAATCTCAACGCCAAATTGCAAGTGTATTGGTGAACGGGTCATAGAGCTGTGACGTGTCAAATGTGGTGTTCTTGTGTACTTTGTCCAAGGCAAATTCGAGGAAAATCGCTGAGCAAAACACTGGAGCAACCTTCTCACGCTACGATGTCCGAGTTGTGATCAAATTTTCAACTCTTCTCGGCAAGTCTGCAGTTGAAAGCCATGGTGATCTATGCAAAGTAATATGGAATAATACCCCATCAACTCAAACTGTAAGGAAATTGATCAGGGAGGTTGAAGGTGGGAGGTCGGACATGAAAGATGAAGCGCACACAGAAAACACGGGGAGAGAAAGGTGATGCTCATTTTTTCAACATGCGTGGCATCATACTGTGCTGGCTAGTCACACCTGGCGTAACTGTCACAGGTGACTACGACAGGTTCGTCCTCAAAGACAAGCTGAGACCTGCGATCCGGAAAAAAGACCCGCTTTGCTTGGAGAAGGCATAATCCTGCATCATGACAACGCGCCTGTTCACAAGTCGAGTTGTGAACGAGCTTCTTGAGGCCTACTCATGAGAATTATTGGAACACACGCCCTATTCGCTCAATCTCGCCCATTGCAACTTCTACCTCTTCCCCAAGGTGAAAGAAATGCTTCGAGGTCGGTGATTTGAGGACGAGGACCAGATTCAAGAGGCTATGTGAAAAGCACTCGGGACCTTGGACAAACGATCACTGACCACTGTCTTTGACTGCTTGGTACATCAAATTGAGAAATGTCTTGAACTTGATGGTTCCTACGTTGAATAGGTATATAAATAAGCTTTCTTTTGATACCAAATACAAGGTGATTTATGATTATATGTGAGGACAGCATGACAGGAAAACTTTATTCTGAGACAGACCTCGCAGTTGAAGATTTAGAACATTTCACGTTTTCGCAGAGACGTAGACGTAGATTGAAGTAAGAAATGAGAATCTTCTTCACCGAAAATTTGTCACACATGAAATCAGCTTAGCTTAGTTGACTTTAGCACTATGCCACTTATGCTAGATCTAGATTTGTTGTATGAAGGGCAGGCCCTATTAATAGTTGATTTCCCAAACAGGACTTTTATTTATATTTGC